GGAAAAGTCAAATGTAAAATAGAGAAATTTGGTGACTAACGTTTTCCGCTATCATAAAGTGGACAGATTATATTTTATCAGTTGTTCAGTCTGCTTCTAGGAAAATTAGTTTACAATGTCCTGCTCGATAATTTCTATCACCAGAATCTATTTTACATATTTCTAACGATTTACTAAGCATTCCTTAGATGTGGCATAAAGCCGGAAGTAGGGAGCAATCAGTGCGGATAGAACTTACTCATCAATCGTAACTGATATAGAGTCAAAACTGTTAAACATTATATAACGTCGAAGTGCTTCGATCGTAAATATTTATAAGTCTGCCAATTGTCCTTGTTTTGAATATTTGCTGCCACAACTAGTCTAGTACTATTTCTTGAGAGATTTTTGATACAACCCAAAGAAGAATATTCAATGTTATCATTCAATTTCCCACAGCTATAATATCGCTTCCCCGTGACGTTTTTATAAATATTTTCCTGGTATCTGTCTATATCTCTGAGACTAAGTGTTATGATAGCTTACATTATTTGTATTATTTGGAGTGTTATCCTCATCTTCATTGCCATATTCACAAGGTTTCGGCCGTTGTACGCGCCGGCTTTCTTCAGGATGAAGATGAGGATGACATTCATGGTAATTGTTCTGATGAACTTTCCTTTATGAGGATGAAGCGCAGTACAAGATTTGGCAGCAAGGTCTTGTCCTTTCACAGTTGAAATAGCTAGATGTAACCGCAAGTTCTTTGCTAACAGTTTCTTCTATTACACATCTCGCTTTGGAACTCTCGTTGAGCTTCTTGGTTCACAGTCAAATTTGATCTTCAAATCTTTAAATGCATTCGTTATCTTCTGTCTTCTTAATTCCTGTTCTTTTTTTACTTATATTTTCTAACGTTAATTAATCCCCTTGAGTTTTAGTGGCTCCATTATTATGTGTATATATTTACTGTACTATCTGTTTCAATTGCCCTATATCAGAAACAAGATAATTCATTTTTTCCGTTAAAATGTAAAGGAATTGTAGAGGCTGGAAAGAATTAATGTGCGATACTACAATGTTTAGAAGTAAGCTAGCTTAGCTAAGGAGAGGAAAGAAAAAATATTTAAAGGCATTTTAAATTTTATATTTCATCTTGCTATCTGTTACTAATTTAAAGATCTTTTTCTGCTTGATACGTGATGTGTATCTAGATTGACGATTCTGCAAACCGGGATCATATGATCACACCTAATCCCATTACAAGCATTTCTTTACTACAAGGATTTACAGGAACAGGAAATGAGGGAAGTTAATGTCAGCTCATCGCCGAGTAGCCTTTGTTACACACATATCTCTCGATGGTTTAGTAGTCCTTCAAACGGAGGTATCTCATCTCCGACCCATGTAGAATGCTGCTGATTTTGATTCCTCTGTAAGAAGGGTCATTCAAGAACCATCTAGCTTGAGTGGGCCTTGGGTCTTGTATTCGGTTAAGAAATTATATTCTAAAAATTCAAGCCTTCGACCCGTTGCCCACAGACGTATGGCTGTCTCTATGGAACATGTACAAACTATCAGGTCATCCAATAATCCGAATTTTGCACCCTTTTTGAATAAAGAAAACAAGTGACCAAATATTACATTTAATTACAGATTCAATCAACAATGTATTTTCCCTGATTATCTATGATTTCCTTCCATCTCTTAACAAGCTTACTAATTCCATTACTGTAAAATTCTTTTGGCTTTGATTCAAAGAACTCACAAAAGTCAGTTTTAACCTCTTCCTGTGTTACAAAAGCTGTTTCTTCCAAATGATTCTGTAAGCTACCAAACAAATGGTAGTCTGAAGGAGCAATGTCGGGAGAATAAGGTGGATGAGGAGTTTTCTCCCAACCAAGTTCTTCGATCATCTGTGACGTGATTTTTGCTGTGTGGGGTCCCGCATTGTCCTGATGAAACATCACCCCTTTTCGATTCACTAGAGCAGGTCTTTTTTCCTCAAAGCTTGGTTCAAACGATCTAATTGCTGACAGTATATTTGAGCATTAATTGTTGCATTAGGCTGTAAGAATTCAAAGTGGATTATTCCTTGGCGATCCCAACAGATTGAAAGAAGAAACTTTTGCCCATGAAGTTCCCTTCTCGGCTGTAGCTGGGGTCCTTCCCCTTTACCAAGCCACTGTCTCCGACGCTTAACATTTCGATAAAAGATCCATTTTTCGTCGCCAGTCACAAGTCTATCCAAAAAAGGTGAAACAAGTTAGCGAGAATGGAGAGAGGAGCAGATGTCAACTCGGGATTTGAGGTTGTTTTTAGACAATTCGTGAGACACCCATTTTCCACGTTTAGGAACTTTTCCAAGTTGTTGAAGATAACGATGAACAGTTGTATGGTTTGAACTGAGAACCACTGCCAATGCCTCAACTGATAAAGCAGAATTTTCTTCAAGGGCTGCTTCAAGAAGCTTTTCATCAAACTCAACTGGACGTCCAGTCCGATCTTCATCTTCAAGGGTGACATCTTCACCTCTGAATTTTGCAAACCATCTTCTGCAAGTTCTTTCATTCACACATTCCTCTCCATAAACTGAGTGAATGTTTCTAGTCGCTTCGGCCGCTGAGTTTCCTTTCTTGAACTCATAAAGCATTATGTGCCTCAAACGATTCTTGGGTACTTCCATGTTAGCAGGGTTTTAATCAAACACAATTTAATTTTATTGTTCTCTGAAATAAAATTTGATCAGTTTAAATGCATCTAAACATAAAAAAATAATGTTCACCTCATTAGACATTATAAAATACTCTTTAAATTTAGTTCATTTTAAAAAAAGGTAAAATTCGGACAGAACTTATGAGAAGACCTGATATATATATATATATATATATATATATATATATATATATATATTATGAAAATAATATGATAAATTAGAATAATTTTCTCAATATTTTTCAGTATTTTCTCAATAACTTTTCTTTATATATAAAATTAATTTATATATCGTTATGTCATATCATATCATCGGAATGGAAAAACACCATATACATACATATATATATATATATATATATATATATATATATATATATATATATATATATATATGTGTGTGTGTGTGTGTGTGTGTGTGTGTGTGTGTGAATAATTCTGCCTACTTATTTTTTATTGGATCCTTTTTATATTTACGGGCAATCTTTTTGAATCATTAATAAAAGTAGAGAGAAAGACGCCATGCTGTTAGACATTAAAAAATACTCTTTAAATTTCGTTCATTTTAACAAGAAGTTAAAATTCGGACAGACCTTATGGGATGACCTGATATATTTCCATAGTTCCATTAGTTCTAGCCATGTCACGCACCATGTAGTGAATCATCCTTATTTTATTTGTATTCCATTGGTGGGATTAATTTTTTTATTCGTTTACTTGTTTCATTGCATCTCTGCCAATCCCAAGCATTTCTGGAGATATTTCTTCTTCTTTTATATTTTTCTTTCATATTTTTCTCATTTTCTTTCTTATTTTACGTTCAATCCAGACCTCAAATCAAACTACTAAAATTAAAAAAGAAAAAAAAAACGGTTCGCTTGTCATGTAACATTCCAGTAAGTATCTGATTTCTCCTCCTATCCTCTACCTTGACAAGAACCAGATCAGGTCGAAAATTCAGTACGGCTGCTATATATGAGCAGGAGCTATGCAGTTTTAAAATCCCAGTCTCGACACTGTTTAAAAGGGTTTACGCGTCCCTGTGGGTGATGAATTATTTTCGCCTACGACCCATTTCCCACAGACGAAACATTGCTAGTCTCTCACTGCTCTATCGCTATTTCCATGTAATATGTTCAGATGAATTACTTTCCTTTGTTCCAACAGTTCTAACCTTCATGGTAAAGACCCACCATGCCCCGCACGTTCTAGTGAACAAATCGTATTCCATTGGTGAGACGTAAGATCCACTTGAGCAGCCTTTTCTCACAAACCGCTGCTCTGTGGAACCTGACTCTCAAGAGGATGTTTCTCCGATCACAACAATCATAACCTGTTTGAGTCTAAGGTCAACTGTTATATAACTCACATATCCGCATAAATTGTGCCTAATTCTGTAACCCTCTTCCTCGAGGTAGAACAAACTGACTCCCAAGAGGATGCTTACCCGATGACTATAGTCGTAACCTGTTCAAGTCTACGGTTAACCGTTATCTTCCCAACATATCCGCATAAACTGTGTCTCTTATTCTGTAACCCTCTTTCTCGAGCTAGATCAAACTGACTCCCAAGAGGATGCTTACCCGATGACGACAATCGTAACATGTTCAAGTCTAGGGTTAACAATTATCTTCCTCACATATCCGCATAAACTGTGTCTCTTATTCTATAACCCTCTTCCTCGAGGTAGAACAAACTGACTCCCAAGAGGATGCTTACCCGATGACTACAATCGTAACCTGTTCAAGTCTAGGGTTAACAATTATCTTCCTCACATAGCCCCATAAACCGTTCCTCTTACTCTGTAACCCTCCATCTGAATAATGGAACCGACACTCTAGGAACTGCTTTCTAGATCACTACATGCTTAACCTCTTCCAATCTAGGGTTAACCGTTATCTTACTCACATATCCCCATAAACTTAACCTCTTCCCCTGTAACTCACTATATGCATTCTGGAACCGACACCCAAGAGGCTATTCCCCCGATCACTTCAGTCTTAATCTGTTCAAGTCAAGGGTTAACTATTATCTTCCGCACATATCCCCATAAACTGTGATTTCCTCGGTGTCCCTCTATCTGCATCCTGGAACCGATATCCAAGAGGCTGTTCCCTCGATCACTACAATCTTATCCTCTTCAAGTCTAGGGTTGCCCGTTATCTTCCACACATAACCATATCAACTGTTCCCTTTTGTCTCTAACCATTTCTCGTGTACATGGTGAAGCTTCGTGCAAAATATATAATATAGGTTTCAGCGTCGTTCGTAGCTTGGCATGTTATTGGATTTAATATTGTATCTAGAGCGCGTCTGTCTGTCTGTCTGTCTTTTTGCTTCTCTTCATTGAAGACTGAAATTGACTTTCTTCACCATCACTCACGTATACCATATTTTCTTTTTCCGAATCGGCGTCTGAGATTGTGTGTAATGACCCAAATCAACCACTTCTCAGACGATCTATATCTTTCTTCTTTAAATGTACTCTCTCGCCCTGTCTGAACGACTGATAACTAATTGTTACTAGGAACAGATATGTTAGATCTATTTTCACTCAGCTGACTATCTCGCAGGGACTAATAGAAATTTTCCAATTATTCTTACAGTAATTGATTCACTTCGATAAGTACCCGACAACTCATAATTCCTCAAAGATTCAAGGCTTATCATCGAGAATATTTGCAATAATAATAATAATAATAATAATAATAATAATAATAATACAGAATAGCTAAAATATTACTGAATAATTTTACCCCTCCTGGATCGTGTTATTATAGACAGGAAGAAACTAATAACAAAATGTTAGAAATTTGTCTTACAAAAAAAACTGATAATTTGATGGGTTTGGCTTTTCAAAGAGGTAACGGTTTTTGACGATATACGTGTACGTATTGTGCAAATTTCATTGTTAAAGAAGTGCTATTCCTTTGTTAATTCTACAAATTAGGCTGCTCTTCCTAGACAGACTATTCCAAGCCAGCGAAACACGTGCGTTGATTTACAAATGAAAATATTAATTTTATTGCACATGAAATCCTTTCTTTCTCCAGATGTGAAGGGCAACCATCGTTAGCTTTGTTTTTCTATATTATGTTTTTTTTTTATTTTTTTTTTCTGACTTCAATAGAATCAATTAGTCTAGCAGTTAATCATTTCACAGTTGAAATGTCTAGATGTAATACAAAGTTCTGTTTTAAAAATTTCATCTTTAACAATTCTTGCTTATGGAACTCTCTTCTTTAATAAATATAACAACATGGCTGTTGTAAAAGTAAATATATTAATATATATATATATATATATATATATATATATATATATATATATATATATATATATGTGTGTGTGTGTGTGTGTGTGTGTGTGTGTGTGTGTGAACAATTAGAAGATCAGTTGAATCTGCTACCTTTTAATACGACTGATTCCTGCCCTGATTCAACTGTAACCATTTTTTATGCGACAATCTTATATATATAGATATATATATATATATATATGTGTGTGTGTGTGTGTATGTATGTACATATAATAAACTGTGATGTGTAAAGATATATATATATATGTACATATATATTTTACAAATCATAGTTTATCATATATATATATATATATATATATATATATATATATATATATATATATATATATATATATATATATATATATATATATATATATATATATATATATATATATATATGTAGGATTAGTACAAATATAACTTATTGATTTTGGTTATTTTACATTAATGTTAAAAAATAAGTTATGTGTTTATTATTGATCTTAAATGACTTTTTCTACTTTGTGTGTCTGTGTTTTTGCATGCATGTGTATACACGTGTATGCTTGTATATGGAGGTGTGTGTGTGTGTGTGTGTGTGTATACCTATGCATCTGCACATCTGTGGAATCTCTTAGTTATAATCAAAACAGGAAGTGAATTATCTCCCCTTATAACATTTTTTTACCCCCATCTAGTTTCTTTTTATGGGGCTTTCGTTTAGGATGTAGGTATTGGTTTCTTTCTCACTTTTAAGTTACCTTTTTTAATTAAAAAAAATCTGTTCTCATATTTAAACAATCTCGTGTTTTATTTTTAGCATACCACTGCTATTTCCGCCTCGATTCTACAGTTTTACGTTGTTTGAATCCATTGATATTATTGCCGAAAAAACTTAGAACAACTTTTCACGTATAAAAAAAAAGAGATTAAGACAGAGCAGTTCTTTCTCACTGGACTTAAAAAAGAAAACTTATTTTATGCTGGAAACAAAAGAGCAGAAAACGGTGAGCTTAGTTACTTAAATAAGTTGAAGCAATTGCCAAGTGTGTCATCGCCGTTTCCCATTTTAGAGTCACGAGTCGTAACGTCGGCAATGGTTACCAGATACAATATCAGTGTAAACATATTTTGAGAGAGCATCACTTGCAAATAACCTCCGGGTTTCATCTATTTGTGAAGTGCGCAGATGTTAGACATACAGTCCTTCAGGTTTGCAGAAAGATTCTGGATTGAAATAGAATTCATTCTAAGAAAAAAAATATACGGCTTCGGATATTTTAAGACAGAATCTGACTTGTCGCCACAAAAAAATAGAACTTGTTTGGATTTGTTTTTTTTTTTTGTGTGTAATTGTTTGTTTTTCTTTTTTTTTAACACGTCGTAAATCAACGATCAGTTTCTCTGCGCTAACACGCATTCCAACCATGAACATAAACAAACACATCAACGTAAGCATTACTTCAGATTCGATGGTGTCCTAAAAGAAAAAATTCGTCACACAAAATATTTTCAACTTTGTCATTGATTTTCCTAACAGACACACACGCGCGCACACACGCACACACACACACACACACACACACACACACACACACACACATATAAAGAATGATATTTGGGTCAGTTACACAAAGAAAACAGAATTTCTCATATCGATAATATTTAGCATCGAAAAACACAAGAAAAAAATTAATTATTTTTAATAATATGTGGAAATCTTGATGACGGTCGTGAGACCGGAAACACGTGTAGCAAAATGATGGAAAATAAAGTATATTTTTTTTTTTAAAATCCACATCATTACAACCAAAAACGTTTGTGGTTTCTCCTTTTTAATATACAACTTTTCTCTCGTTTGAACTACAATAACATCTTCCTTTTATATATATATATATATATATATATATATAATTTATATATACACACACACAGACACACACACACACACAGACACACACACACACACACACACACATATATATATATATATATATATATATATATATATAGGAGGAGGATGATATCCAGAGAGCTCAATGTAAAATTCAGAGAGATATGTTTGAATAAAAAGAGACCACGTTAAGATTCCATGTAATAAGTTATTTCACCATAACCCCTTTAACAGGGTTCTGGATCTGGATAACTTATTACATGGAATCTTAACGTGGTCTGTTTTTTATTCAATATATATATATATATATATATATATATTTATATATATATAATCCTAACGAGCCAGGAACAACCTACCCAGGTTTCATGTAAACGGATCTTCAGGGTATTCAGGCTCAAGAGGAGATGACACGAAACATTTTTTATTGATAAAAACCAATAAAAATTAATTAGCATAAAACCACGTGACAGGAGAAGATAGGAAATAAACCCACAGAGCCTCTATTCCAATAATTAGGATTTCCTATGCCTACACCTGTTTAAATTCTCAGGTCTTTGAGTTAATAAATTTTAGGTTCTTAGCATATTGGTCACTTTACCTTTTAGCTTTATTAGTCGCTTGGGTTTGTCCTTTGGACTAAAAACTTCAAGCAGTGGACGATTTGTTTCGGCCTGTTCGGATGTTTCTAGTTCTTCCTTTTTTCCGAGATTTTTTACCAACCGTGTATTACTATTAGTATAATACATATATATATATATATATATATATATATGATCAGATTTAACTGAAGAGAATCTATATATATATATATATATATATATATATATATATATTTAAAGATATTTTTGTAGGTACAAAATTTAATGATCGAAATAAAAGTATAAAATTTAATATTACAAGACATATTAAAACAATATTAAATAATAAAAAAAAAAAAAAAAAAAAAACTCAACAACAAGGGGGGGGAAGCAACCGGTTTCGCTCCCACTCGTCAGGCTTCCACGGGAGATTCAATATTGAAACAGAGAAATGTACAATGTGAATAGGTGGAAAAAAAAAAATAATTACGCATATATATATATATATATGTTTGTATATGCAAACATATATATATATATATATATATATATATGCGTTTTTTTGGTGCTGTTCAACGTCCTCGTGTGATGTAATAGTCTGATATATATATATATATATATATATATATATATATATAGATTCTCTTCAGTTAAATCTGATCATCCATAATGTAAATGTCATGTCATTTGTTATCTCCTGACTTCTTAATCTTTTATAGTTCCTTCCCTTTTTAATGATGTTTTACTCCGTGAAGTTTCTCAATTATATATATATATATATATATATATATATATATATATATATATATATATATATATATATATATATATATATATATTTACTAATCGGATTCTTCAGATGTCCTGCAGATTGCGTTTAAGAATGAAACAGTCGATGGTCTGCATTGACCACCGCCTCCACTTTTATATTTTTATATTTACGTACGCTCTATCGAGCACTTCCAACCCATAAATACAGCACACCTTAAAATATATATTATCATATATATATATATATATATATATATATATACTCACCTTCTTACCACGAACCACCAACTTATGGAGGCTTCTCCCAGAATAATACTTCACAGAACTCTGCAACGTTTAACGTGACGACTTTTTACGGTTACATATTTTGTGGAGACTTACGGTCACACCACTTTCAAACACTGTTTACCTGTACCATTACAGCTTTTACTGTTATCTTCCCAACATATTCTCAAGAACTCGGCTCCTTACATCTTGCTCTGTAACTCCCTATATCGAGTGGCTCTTGGGCCTTGTACAAAGTGAAAATTATTGTTATTACTGCTCTTTTTCCTATTTTAGAATAATATGTCGTCTATATTCTCATGCCAAATGTACGGATATAACTCTATCCGTAAACGTTCATCAATTCAAATATTTAAAACATTGTTTTCCATCTTTATATAATCTGAGAATTCCGACGTTTAACGTGATGGCTTTTTTACGGATTTGGTAGAGAAAGAGGCTTAAGGCCACATTAGGTTTAAACACCGGTTTCCGTACGATCATCGAAGTTAAGCAACGTCAAACGTGGTCAGTAGCTAGATCGGTGACCGCTTGAGAATGCTAGGTGCTGAAAGCTTGGATGTGCGGGTGGTGTAATGGATAGTGATTCGGAATTGTTAATCGGGGAGCCGAGTTGGGTTCGTTATAATCAATTACGAGCAAATAGCGTTTGGAATATTATGAATCTACGTCTTCTCCCGCCACCTATGGGTTAACCAGTGTTGTAACTCAGAAAATGTGACTGAATGAGGAATAACCAAAACTGAGTTTGGGAATGAAATGGTAAATTTAATAACATCAACAAAATACAATACTCGCCAGTGGCGTGAAGTAGGTAAACCACTGGATTGCTTAGACAGAATATTTCGATATTTACCAGCCTCCCCACGAGGTAGGATGCTGCACAAGGCCAAATTTAATTTGGGGAAATCCGAGCTCGAGGGCTCAGGCAAAAATTGCCCATAGACCCCGCATACGCGGGACCGGGTATCCGTCTACCTACCCGGATGAGTTTCTGCCCTTCGGCGTAGTCTTGTTCGGGCTCCTCTCTGCCCGAAAGCAGAGATTTCAAACGGCAACGTCTTCCCACGCTGAGAGCTCACGCTGACCGCGTAGACAGCATATTACAATATTTACCTGCCTCCCCGCGAAGTAGGATTTGGCACAAGGCCAAATTTAATATGGGGAAATCCGAGCCCGTGGGTTCGGTCAAAAATTGCCCGTAGGCCCCAGCATACGCGGAATCGGGTATCTGTCTACCTCCCCGACAAGACTCTGCCCTTCAGCATAGCCTTGTCCGGGTTCCTCTCTGCCCGAAGGCAGAGAGTTCGACACCGCAAAAGCTTCACACGTTGACAGCTCACGCTGCTAGCTTAGACAGCATATTACCCCAACTTACAATATTGTCCAACGTATTTATGAGGATTGGGATATACGCATTCATAGGTACGGTATATAATAACTAGTAAGATTTTAACACTAAACCGTTATTATCTAAATATAAAATGAAAGAATGCGTATAAGATATTTAGATTTCAGCATTAAATGAACCTTGAAGAGTCCAAGTTTTAGAGAATATGAAAGCAATTAGGACACATTTAATTAACTTCAGAAGGAGACAGTTGACATTTCTACGGCACATAATGAGGAAAGAGCTCTTGGAAAATTTGACACTCTCAAGATATATCGAAGGAAGAAAGATAGAGAAAAACAGCCAATCGTCTATCTAATGAATAGTGGAACATGGTTTCAGGACTGATAGCACAAAGACGAAATTTATTAAGAACTACAAATTACAGAATATTGTGGAGGGCCATGATCGCCAACGTTTTCAGGAGGCGCGGCACGAAGAAGAAGCAGAAGAAGAAGAGGAGGAGGAGGAAGAAGAAGAAGAAGAAGAGGAGAAGGAGGAGGAGGAGGAGAAGGAGGAGGAAGAAGAAGAAGAGGAGGAGGAGAAGGAGGAGAAGGAAGAAGAAGAAGAAGAAGAATTTTGTGAAGTTAGAGAGTCGGGTATAATATCTATTTGCCTAAAATAAGGCATTAAAATAAGCGTAAAATATATTCCTTAGTCTTTAACTTTCATTTAATGTCTTACTTTGCGCAAATAAATATTTATGTTAGATCATTAAAAGTTAACGAGGGCCTAACTATTTAAATCTATTTTCAAGGCGTATGATCAAATGTTTATCGCGCCCAGGCACTATTGTCTCGACTGTCGATTAGTTGTCCTACGGTCATTGTCTGCAATGGACTTTACTCCAAGGAAGCGTACGAAAATTGTAACATTAACACTAGCAATCTTTACCAGTGAGCAAATCCAAGTACTACAGACCGGGACGGAAACTCTCCTCATTTAAATTCAATCGAGAATCTGTGGTCAATAAGGAACGACTTTGTAGAATGGACATACGGAGTACTAACATGTGCACTGGGTTATGTTTCATTGCAAAGGTGTATATCCTCCTACTTCTTAGGTGAGACTTACGGTCACATCACGTAGAAACACCGCACCCCGTGCGATCAACGAAGTTAGGCAACGTCGAGCCTAGTCAGTATTTAAATGGGTGACCGCTTGGGAATACCATGTACCGTAAGCTTAGATATGTAGGTGGTTTACTAGATAATAGCTGGGAATTATTAATTGGAGAGCTGAGTTGCAATTCTCGTTGGGTTCGTTATTGATTGGCCAATCGAAATGTGCCGTTTATACAACGCCAGGCCCATGTCTCTGGGCTAATCTGGCAGACACAGGTACAGTGGACTAGGATGTTTATCTATACCTATCGTCCTAACCTCAACTAGCACCTTCCAGCTACCCCTCCACATTCCCTGCGTATTCCATCGGTGAGAAGCAAGTTCCATTTGAATATCTTTTTCCTGGGAACCACTACCCTGTGGAACCGACTCCCACGAGGATGTTTTTCCCCAAATCACTACAGTCTTAACCTATTCAAGGCTAGAGTTATCTGTTATCTCGCAGTCCTATCCGCACAAATTGCCTCCTAACGTAACCCTCTACCTCGACTGGCTTCAGGACATTATAAAGAGTGATCGTTACTGTAAAAAAAAATGCAGAATTTTGTTTTTTTCTTATGTGTCTAATAAAGACAAGGGTAAGTATAATTAAGAGGTTGGATTCTTTAATTAATTGATCAATTCATTTTTTACGGTTTATCAACCTTCTGCAGGCTGCTGATTTTTCTGTCACTATGCAATGAACGAACAAGGAATCGGACAAGGAAGAACACTGGAGAGTTAAACGCTTGAAAGAATCAGCGCAGATGCTAGCCTTTGAAAACCTTCTTAGTATGGCTAAAATAGAACTAAATACAATATGGGAGCCGCTAATAACGAAAGACAAATGATAGCAAGTCTTCAACCGCAGTAATAGTTACGAAAACAGTAGTTCTTAGCATATGCTAAGCTACGAGTACCCCTTAGTAGGGCTAGTATAGAAATAAATATAATATGGAAGTCGCTAATAAAGAAAAACAAATGATAGCAAGTCTTAAACCGCAGCAGTTGTAGTAGCAATCAAAACATGGCGCTCAGCAGGGATAGCAAGAATTTCCGCCAAATCAAAAGTGAAGGATAGTTTAAAAGAGTTGAGGGGTCCACCCCTTTTTATACAAATGAACTTAACCAGTATATACATATACTACTGCAAGAGTAAGACGATATTAAGTCGAGAGCAAGACCGAGGAGTCGAGTCCAGAGTAAAAGGTTGTAGGTAACCGGAAGAGTGAGGGTGAGGTAACAGCGTTGTAGGAGTCACAGTGAGGAAGCACTTAGACTCAGTAAGAAGCCATACAGCGATACTTCAATACCAAAGACTGTATATATATTTTGCTACTAACCTGTATTCCTGGAACTACTAACCTGCTTTACCAGTTTGTATTATTACGTTAATACATTATTTTCATATATTCATTCCTGGCATTTGTTATTTATTGGTACCGGATTTCATCCCGGAATCCACAACAAAAAGCTTTAAGTATTTTCCTACGGGACAATAGTCTAGTGGATAAAAGCATTGGTTTGTGAATTTGGTGACATATTGGTTGTGGTTTCAATCCCTGAATCGGGTATTATATACTTGCATTCAACGAGCAATAAAAGAACGGTACCAAATAAAATAAGAACAAGACGACATGATTAATGGAACGAGAACAGTCTAGCCCCATAGATTAAACAAAGTGTTCAGTACGGAATTTCCCAGATATACACGCGATGAAGTGCGGAGGGAAGAACGACCGAAACGTTGTGATAAAAACAACAAAGATGAAGACAATAGTCCGAATATAAATAGTGTAAACAATAATTCAAATATATCTTTTCCCAAATGTGTAAGGAGATTTTATTCGGTACATATTTTCATAGACGCTTTTAGGGACGGATAGGGTTGGTTATCAGCCCCTGTGGAATGAAAATACAAGACAAAGAAGAATACTGTGGAATTAGACGTCAGAAACAATTTACGCTTATGCTAAGCTACGAGAACCCCGTTAGTAAGCTTAGCATAGAAATAAATACAATATGGATGCCGCTAATAAAAAAAAAAGACTTAAAAAGTCTTCAAACGCAGCAATAGTTACGCGTGCCGTGAAATCATTTAATAGGTGAAGATGTGTGACAATAATAAAGCATTAACAAAAATGAGTTAATAATTTGCACTTGAGGGAGTAACACTTCCTCGTTGTTCCATCAGAAGCGATCTACGACATTTAGATACAAAAGACTATATGGCTTTTTGATGGTTTTAGTGGGTTCAAAGGACAAAAGGTTCGAAAAGAAATAATAGCAGCTTTATGACAAAAGAAATTGTTGAAACTTGACTAATGCCTGGAATAATAATGCAACACAAAATGTACTTAGAACAAAATGTATTGAAACAAGAAAGTGTACACAATATTTACATATAGTCTTTTGTATATTCCTGGGAAGACCGTTCCTGGAGAATGTGTTGACTTAGTCGCAGTCGGGCAGAGTCTCTGGATTGAATCTCTTTATTCCTCCCCTTTCTTCCCGGTACCAACCATATTTATATGGTCGGTACTCCACTATGCAAATTAGGTGGACCCTACCACAACAGAAATAATATCCAACATGTCAATTTGAACACTTTTTTCTCTGTAAATTATGTTTTTATACAATTCGTGGAAGTGACAAGATGAAAATAGTGAACCGCCAAAATAAAAACTAAACCCAATGAACGTATATATATATATATATATATATATATATATATATATATATATTAATAATATCAGTCATACATTTATATATAAAATAATTGCAAACAATACCTATTTATAGAAAAATTATCAACAATCCATCGATGAATATAAATGAAATCTTTCATGACATTCCATATAATATCATACAAATATTCCAAAATATAACTTTAAAAAAATGCAATTTTAAATGTCGACAGAATGGCGATATGCTTGCGTCGTTAATTGATCAATTCATTTTTTACGGTTTATCAATATTCTACAGACTGCTGCTTTTCTCTCAGTATGCAATGAACGGTCAAGGAACTGGACAAGGAAGAACACCGAGGAGTTAAATGTCTGATGTGTGAATTGTTGAGTGGAAATTAATTCATCAAGCACAAAGCCGTATAAACGAATTTAAACTCTATCGATTCTGCCTTCCTCTAATCCAGATATGGCAGCAATAATCCATTTTTTTAAGTTGATCTGACTCTTGCAGAAATGAAACGTCTTTAGTAAGTAAAACAATATTAGTCAGTCCTGGATTTTAGATGTGAGCTCGCAACTTTCCTTCTCATAATTATTGCTAATATTTCTAAATCATTTTTTTCATCGGCACAAAAATGTATCAAAAATATATCATCAGGTGTTGTCGTGAAAACCAAGAGCGCACGCAACATTCTTTCGTTGTTCCATCAAAATCTGACATTCACATTTAGATAAAAAGGAAAAAGTAAACAGTTAATTGTGATTGCGTTTGTGTGGGCTCAAAGGACAAAACATTCTTAAAGAAATAATAGCAGCCTTATGACAAAAGAAATAATATCCCTCAGATCAATTTGCTTTTGAACATTTTTTCTCTGTAAATTATGTTTTCATAGAATTCTTGGAGGTGACAAGATAAGGAGAAACTTTTAAAAGATAACAGTAATTGCGTTCACTGAGTTCATAGTTTAGTGTCATTTACAAAAAGAACAAAAGAAAAGGGTGAATTTTATTAATTTGGGTCTGAATTTCTTCGATGAGGCGTTATTATTTACACTTAAATGAAGCGATCGTTCAATGCCTACAACACCAGGAAAAAGTCATAAGTGGTGACCCAGACATATACCAAAAAGAAATGATTAGCATCAAACGTAGCCTTCAGAATAAACATGACATCAGTGTATAGAGGTAGGAAAAAAGGGACAAGAAGGATGGCCAGGAGAATCCCCACATCCTTTCTACCTTACGTCAAGATCTTATCGGAAAAGATTCAATAGGTCTACGATCTATACAACATCAGAACAATATTCAGAAGCAGTATACGGAAAATCCCGGAGAATCTGCTCAAGAATTGCGTGTACTCGATCCCTTGCAGCTGTTGCAGAGAATATAATGGTGAACCCACCGCTCTTGAAAGTAAGCCTAGAGGAACATCTAAATGCTGTAATGAGTGTTGAGACAATGAAATCGGACATGGCTGATCATGTGTAGAGGGAATGAGGTATTCATTAGCCCCTGTTGAAAATACTGGACAAGGAAGAACACTGGAGAGTTAGACGTCTGAAAGAATCAGTGCAGAGGCTACGCTATGAGAACCTTCTTAGTAGGTCTATGATAGAAAGAATAAAATATGGCAGCTGCTAATAAAGAATGACAAATGACAGCAAGTCTTCAAGCGCAGCAACAGCAGCACCAGTCGCAGGAGTGACAGTTAAAACATAACAGACAGGAGCAGCAGCAGTTGCAATCTAATCAGCAGGCAGATTAAGTTTAAGGCTCTAACTTTACTACAGTAATGACCTAGTAGAAAAAAACCGTTAGTTTGTGAATTTGATGTCAAAGTGGTTGTGAGCTCAATCCCTGTGTCGGGCAATGTGCAGCCGCAATCAGTGGAAACGGGCAAGCAATAACCGATCATTTCTTGGTGTACATATCATAACGCACTTTTTAAATCTGGATTTGAGGGAGAATGGAAAGATTCAAAGGAAAAAATATATATAAAAGGTCTGAAGATGTCAGCTACTGTTAAACCAAACCTATAAAATATTTACATAGAAACACCAAGATCAAGGTAGTCACTGCTGAATGGACTAAGACTGAATGTCATCATCAAAATTAATTTTGATATCCTGTCTTTATCTTTGTTTACTACAATAAATTTTTAAGTTTAAAAAGACTACTTTGACTTTTCATTGTACATTTTGGTGTGAAAATTGAACAGCCTAAAAGTAAAAGCAGGAGTGGCCCATTTGAACTTTTTTTAAAAAAAGGGTCCCTGGGCTGAAAAAGATTGGGAAATGCTGGTGTGACTAACTTTAAAACAGGTTTTAATTTTTTTTTTCGTCCCTCCAAAACATTCGTCTTTTATTAAACGCGTAAATGTACTGATAAGTAATTTAAAAGGATGTGAAAGCAACTGACAAACGTTCTGACAGTATAGGATATTAGACGCTGCATTAAAATAGCAAAAGAATTAGTGTCTAAAATTCTGTTATGAGGAATTATCTTTATTTACATTATATATATGCTGATTAATTTTAATGATTCGTTTTTTACGGCTTATCAACCCTTTGCAGCTGGGTATAGAAGAGAAGGATTCATATTTCTCAAGCGTATTTGCGCGTAAGTGAATATAAAAAATACGAAGGACTTTGAATTCAGCTATTTGTGAAATCTGACTGTGAATTTTAGAAGCTGGGAAATATTTAGTAAAATACAAAATCCGAATTTTCAAATTTGATTGGTTGATTTCTTTTTTAAGGTTTATTAACATTTGGCAGGTTATTTAAAGCCAGGAAATATTTTTAGATTGTAAGTTTTTCTTTTAGATAAGACTGATTTACAAGTTGTATACAATTAAGACATCCTACTTTTTAATCCATACCCAGGGAAGAAGAGACGGATTCTGAGATGCATTTGCGTGTAAGTGAATATAATGAACCATTATCCATTACATCATTCGCATATCCAAATTTCAAGTGCGTGGTGTTCCCATGCGGTCACCCATCTAGGTACTGACCAAACTTGACATTGCCTAACTTCGGTGATCGTACGGGAATAGGTGTTTCAATGTGATGCGGCCGTAAGCTATTTAAATGCGGACAGTCGTTCTCGTCGTTATTGTTGGTATCACAAGGTGTCAGCCGTTGTGCTCTCCCGCCTTACTCAACAGAACATCGACCCGTGTAACCTACAGGGAATTCCAAACTGTACCCTTCATTTAATCTATAGAGGGGAAAGTGTTTTCTCTACCCATGTTTAGTGATATCCCATCTAGTTCTGATTTTTATTGCTCCTTTATTTCTTGCCTTGTTTACATTCAGTCTAATCTCTATCTATAAAAGGCAGGATGTGTGTGTGTGTGTGTGTGTGTGTGTGTGTGTGTGTGTGTGTGTGTGTGTGTGTGTGTGTGTAACGAATGCACGGCCGCAATTTTCGACGGATTTGCACCAATATTTACATGCACATGCTCCAAGTTAGCGGGAAGGCCAAGAACAACTTTATATTTCCCAACTCCCATCGATAGTGGAAAGAGTCGATTTTTTTATGCTTCCACGGCAGTTTTCATGTAGTTTGTGGCCATTTTGTACTGGCCAGAGTGAAAGCCTATAGTTTGCTGCCACGAATAGGCAGGAAGATTCTATTGGCCACTGTGAGAGGCAACAGCTGACTGACATGAATTTTAATTAGCATGCAAAAAAATCGATATCTGCATTCGTCACAAGTGGATAAAATTTAAAGCTGCACGACACTTTACTCCAATTCGCTCATTCGCTTGCTTAAATTCAACGTTGATTCTGATTCCGCAGAACTGGGTTGGGTGTGAAAAAGTATTTGTTGTTAACATTCTTTTTTCATTCAGTTTTTCAGTTACGAGTCCTTTTTTAAAGCTGATCGTTTTGTGTTTATTTTGTTTAGTTCTTTTTTCGTAACAGATTTAATGATTAGTGTACAGCTTAGAAAAATGTGAGATAGGCAAGAAGTAAGGCGTGTAGCAACATCAACACGGCAAAGGGCACTCCTTTAAAGGCAAGAAAGGGCAAAACTATTTTAAGAAGTGATAGCGATTGCTGTATGAGTCGTACAATTTTTTAATCAAGCACGGGCAACGCCGGGCCATGCTGCTAGTACCCAATAATATTGTCACCAAACTTACGAACCAACGAGTAATGTACTAGGCTATTGTCCAGTTGGAAAATTCTCTATAGAAAAATTGGAGCTTTACTCTGTCCATTGATCATTGCTGCTTCTCCCCGCCATGCTTGTGTTCAGTCACTCAAGCTTTTTACTTTTGTCGAAGACTCGTTGTCATTCTTTCATTATTAACGGTTGCCATATCGTAGTTATCTGTAAGATAGTCCTACTAAGTGGGTCCTCAATGCCTAGCAAATGAGATGAATCTTTCAGTGTTCTTCTTTGTGCAATAATTTCACTTCCTTCCACTAGCCTTTTATTTTCATACATGATCAGCCATACTAGATTTCATTGTTTCACTTCTCACTTCGGATTTCGACATTCCTTCTTGTAGGAGCCGGCTTTATATTTTTGACAACTTCAAAGTAATGTATATCAGCTTGAAAGTAGAGAACACAGAAATTGAAAGGTAGTAACAACACAGATGGGGACAATAGTGCGCAACTTAATAGTCTAAATAATGATAACATGATATGTGTTGCGATTGAATAATTTATATTGTTTACATTGTTCGAACTGTTGTCCTCATCTTTATTGTGATATTTACCACGTTTCGGTCGTTGTACGTTCCGGCTTTCTTCAGGTAATTGGAATTTCGAAATGAATCATTTATTTTTTCCCATCGAGGAAGATTGTTCTAATTCCACGTGCCATGCCTCTTCCATTCTCTCAGTTATTTGCCGTTAACTCATCTCTCTAATTTTTTTTTCGCCACGGTAGTAGCCAGATATTTAACTCACAGCCCGTTGGGGCAATCACTGGGTTCCAAACAAGGACATATGGCCTTGTTTATAAAAGTGTTGGTTGGATGCCGTGATTTGACCCAAAGAGTTGTGCGTTCAGTCACTGGCTACTGCAGTGGCGAACAAAAACTTGGTGAAATAACTGAGACATCCGGAAGAGTTATGTTATGTGGAACTAGAACAATCTACCCCGGTGGACGAAATAAAAAGTTCAGTTCGAAATTCTAATCACCTGAAGAAGATCGGAGCGTACAACGGCCGAAACGTTATGAATATAGCAATAAAGATGAGGACGACAGTGCGAACAATGTAAAGAATGTAAATAGTTACAATACCTAATCTCAGAACTACAGACAGATCCAGAAAGAAAGCCGGAGCTTAGAACGGCCGAAACACCATGAATATGACAATAAATATGTGGAAAACAGTCGGGACAATTTAAATAATGTAAATAATTACTATACCTCATCTCAGAAGTATAGCCAGTTTCAGGAAGAAGGCCGTAGCTTAGAACGGCCGAAATGTCATGAATATGGCAAGGAAGATGAGGACGACAGTCCGAACAATGTAAATAATGTAAATAATCACGATACTTCATCTCAGAACTATAGCCAGTTCCAGGATGAAGGCCGGAGCTTAGAACTGCCGAAACGTCATGAATATGGCAATAAAGATGAGGACGACAGTACGAACAATGTAAATAATTACAATACCTCACCTCACGACTATAGACAGATCCAGGAAGAAGGCCGGAGCTTAGAACGGCCGAAACGTCATGAATATGGCAATAAAGATGAGGACGACAGTGCGAACAATGTAAATAATTACAATACCTCACCTCACAACTATAGCCAGATCCAGGAAGAAGGCCGTAGCTTAGAACGGTCGAAACGTCATGAATATGGCAATAAATATGAGGACGACAGTCCGAACAATGTAAATAAAGTAAGTAATTAACATACCTCATCTAGGAAATAATGGCAGATAGTTGATGAATAAGTTTATCTACAAATAGTAAAATATTAAATTAAAAAGGGTTCAAACCATTTCCCCACGCTATCTAAGATGCTGGCAGAAATAATTTTTCGTTTTACCCTAAAAACGCAAACTTTGTTTAATATGACTTCCCCAGATCTTAATCTCTGTAGGCTGACAGCTAGGGCATGTTGAATATCGACAATAGAAAGAGAAGATATTAATTTCAGAACAAGTTCGATAAATTCATCTTGATAATGATCGTATCATCTTGATGTCTTTCAATATTTCATTAGTTTTGCAAAGAACTTAACGTTGCTTCGATAAAAGTCAATTTATTATTTCATAACATTTTTTTTTAAATTCGCCCGCCGGTTTTTGAAATAACCCGGGTCGAAGTTCCAGCGTATGGACTTAAATATTGCATCTTACTGAAGATTGCCCGAAAACCTTGACAGATTTCTATCTGTGAATTGATGATAATTTGAATTTAAATTCAATATGGCAGGTGCCAAGCTAAATCAGTGGCCTGCAGACAGATTCAGGTCAATATTAACATCTAATTATCACCAGTGGCATCGTTGTTTCTGTCGTCGATTTTGAAATGCTCATAACGGTTTTATTTCTTCCTATTCTCACAATTGATATATTTATTGGTATTAATTTTTATTTCTATCAATATCATGAGATTTTCTTCTGGTCATGTATTTTTGCTCTTACTGATATAATTAACGTAGAAATATGACGGGATTTTGGATTTTATAATCTGGCAAATATTCAGTAAAATACTGGAACGAATTTTCTTTTTGGATTGTTTTATTTGTTATTTTACAGTTACTGTACTGTACTACTACTACTACTGTACTGATGCGGCATTCACCCTGGGCGGATTGAGCCGGCTTCTTCCTGTTATGAGAAGAAGATTCTTGGGATAAATTACAGAAGTAGGGTACCCAGGCCTACTCGGATAACGTTCTTGCTTGCCGCGGGGTTCCCACAGACGCAGAGACAGGAACGACCAGAAGCCGCCGGTTACCGATGCAGACGCTCCTTGGATTTTTCACCAGAGCCCTTGTTAGCCGGCGTGTGTCAGACCTGTCCGCCTTGGATGGCCCTACCAGGAACGAAGTTCCGGGCGGCATAGCTCTGACACTACCGTTTACACCACCCGCACCGACTGTGAGGTAAGGGTAGGACTTTGGGGGCTTACAGTACCAGGTGTTCCCAAGCGGTCCCCCATCTAAGTACTGACCTGGCTCTACGATGCTTAACTTCGGTGATCGAACGAGAACAGGTGTTTCAGCGTGATTTGACCGTAAGCTCTATTTTACGGTTAATGAAGATTAGTCGAATTATTTAAAGCTAGAAAATATTTTAAGGTTGTGAGATATTTTGGAGATAATAATGATTTACTGATACAAGTGCTACTAATTAACCCATAGCTGGGGGCGTGAAGAGATGAATTCATACCTTTCCCAGGCATATTTTAGGATGTAAGATTTTGATTTTGCAACATAATAATTATTTACTGATAAAGTCATGCAAATTGACCCACAGCGCTCGTTGAACAGGTGGATTCATAACTTTCCCAAGCGTATGATAGATCGTAACATTTTTTTTTTAAAAGACAATACTGATTTACTGATACAAAACCCCTAATTAACCCACAGCTGGGTGCGTGAAAACCTGCATTTATACCTTTGCTAGGCGTATATTTAGATTGTAAGATTTTGTTTTTAGAAGATAAATATCATTTACTGATACAAGTTCTACTAATTAACCTATAGCTAAAAGGAAAACATGTGGATTCATACTTTTCCTAAGCGTTTTTGACTGTAAATGAATATATCAAACAAAACTGGAATGAGGACACTTCTAATTGTGGTAATAATGCGGGATTCTGGATTTTGTAAACTAGAAAAATACTCAGTAAAATAAAGGAATGATTTTTTTTCTTTTCAGGATTGTTTTTAAGGTTGAATATCATTTGTCTGGTTATTTTATTTTTTTAGATAATAATGATCTAAAAGTCCTTTACTACTAATAAATCCTAGTATTTAACCCATAGCTTTGGGAAGAAGTGTTGGATTCATATCTTTGCCAAGCCTCTTTCCGTGTAAGTTAATATAACGAAACTGACTGGAATTGGAACTTAGCTCTCTGTTTCCCAGTTACTAGCCGTCATCCATTACACCACCCGCACATCCATGATTTTTATAACATACGAGAACCGGTATTTTAACGTGATACGCTCGTTAGTCTTTTTCTAGGAAGAAAATGTGAAAAAAAGTAATTGTTTGTGTATCAGATTAGAAACTGTTCAACCAGAAAACTAACAAGTTCAAAAAAGACAATAAGTTAGTGTAAATATATGCAAAAATAAATTTATGTGTTGCTTTAATTAGCCCGTTGACTAGAAAACCTTAGGTCAGACGAAAATGACAAATAAAATATGGGACGGATATTCAGGTCAAATTATATATATATATATATATATATATATATATATATATATATTGACCCTGAATATCCGTCCCATATTTTTATTTGTCATTTTCATTATTAGTGGCTACTGTATATATATATATATATATATATATATATATATATATATATATATATAAATTGGCCCTGTTCTGGCATCTCGTCTACAGTCGCTCTCTCGCAGACGCGCCGTCGACTCTCTCTGTCTTTTTTACAAATACTTTCATGGTAATTGATCCGATGAGCTGCTTTCGCTGGTTCCCAGACTTCATGAATCCAAGCGCCCCACGAGACTGACATCCCGTTCTCACCCTTTCACTGTCGAAACTATTAATGTAGCCGTCTCTTCTACTGCAATAACTTCATATCTCTCACCTCTCGTCTGTGGAACTTCCTTCCCGATTCCAGTTTCCCTGAGAGCTGTAATCTCCAACTATTCAAATGTAATGTCAATCGACATTTCCAGTTGATGATCTATCCACTACCCTTCTCCTCATCCTTTCCTCTATTACTCCCATCTGATCTCGCTCCAAATCTTCTGTAACCCCTTGCGTCCTAGTAGCTTCCCGCCTTGTTTGGGGTGAAACGCAAAATAATATATATATATATATATATATATATATATATATATATATATATATATATATATATATATATATTAAGAAATGGACAAAGTCCGACAATTTATTTATTAAAGACATTTTTATGTTTAACGATCTTTTTATAGATACAAGTATTTAAGTAAATGCTCTGTTTATAATAAACAGTATTAAATAACATTTACCGGCCTGAATGTCCGAGAAATTTTCATAGAAAATATTCGTCCTTTGACATGATTTGAACCTGCATCCTATACGTCAGCGTAAATGACGGTTCCTTATTCTTTAATTATGGATAATAATGCAAGACTCTTCGGTAAATCTAATCGAGTTCTCTCAGTCACTGTGTGTTTATCTAAAAAAATAAATACGCTCGAATTCACCTTTATCGCTGCTGTGCGCTGACGGTTTAGTGGTAGAATCTCTGACTGACGCTAATTCAGTTGGGTTTCAATCCTAGGTAGAGGCAACCGAAACAGTCTGTCTGTGGATGACTATATACCTGATTGAATAAAGTACAGGCATTATGTCTGCTAGTTTTATTAACAAAATCCGTTCATATCGTCGAATAACCTTCCGTGTATTGACGTTAAAGGATCAGAGAAATGTGCTATAGCTGTTTAAATTTTTTTTTTATTTTAATTTCCAAAGTACTTTCGATCTTTTTTCAAGATCATCTTCAGGGGTGAAAGTAATACAAAATGATAATTGGATTTCTGAGAGTATTATGACTACTTATATTAATTACATTATTCGTACTGTTATCCTCATTTTCATTTCCATATTCACAACGTTTCAGCCATTGTATGCTCCGGCCTTCTTCGGGTAATAAGATTTCTGAGAGTATGTTGGTTACTTATATTAATTACATTATTCGTACTGTTATCCTCATCTTCATTTCCATATTCACAACGTTTCGGCCATTGTAAGCTCCGGCCTTCTTCAGGTAATTGGATTTCTGAGAGTATTATGATTACTTACATTAATTACATTATTCGTACTTAGTAGGACTGAGAACTTTTCAGTATTTCCTCGTATATAGAATCACTTGGGATCGGAATATACTTAAATAACTATATATCGATAAAATCTCATGTCAGACATTGCAGAACAATAATTGCTTTCACCGCCGCCTTTACCAGTGCGAATAGCTTTTAATCCCCTGGAGCTGTCAAGATTAAGCCCATGCAGAAGATAGTTTAGCAGTGTCCAGAACAATACCCGGGATATGATTACGGATAATCTAATTCTTACCTTAGTTTGAAAGATAATTCTTAGAGTAGATTATTCTCTTCTATTCTTCATGTCAATAATTATTTTTTTCTTAAGTAAAAGGTCATATAATTGCTCCAGTATACAAACTGATATTAATGACTAATATTCCACAGTTATAAGATATTTTTCTTTCAGATTAATTAATTCCAATCATTGCGATAATGCTTCTAAGACGCAAGGGTTTACTGGGAGTGAAAGGAAATTAGAAGCAACCGGAAACCTACTCCCAAACAGGAAACAAGTGATAAACCTCTACTCCTGTTCAAAAAATCAAGAAGGCGTGTGAAACGGACGATTGCGGACCTATCTACTCCTAACGAAGAAAAAAAAAACATTTCAGAATTTAGGCGGAGACGTTGAGGCAGGGACTAGAAGGAACCGGAAAATTGATCCTGAACAGAAAACAAGGCGAAAACTCCTACACTTGTTTAAAAGACAAGGGAGGAGTGTGAACCGGGCGATGAGCAAACCTTTTTCCTCCTAATCAAAAAATGAAAAATAACTTCACTTGTTAGATCAATGGCTAGTTGAACTAGTGATTTTAATCCCCACTGGATGTTCCATTCGTACAACCTTGTGCCATATCCAATCTTCGCATAGTAGAAGCACAACGGTGTGATGTAATGATTAGCAAGCTTGTCTCGTTAGATCAATAGATTTTTAGAATAGAGACGACGATCCTCATTGGGTCCTCCATACCTGCTGCTTTATGCCATATCTAAGCTATGCTTAGCAAAGGAGAAGTCCTAAGAGTATTTGCGTGTAAGTGAATATAACGAACCTAACATGAATTGGAACTCAGCTCTCCGATTAACAATTCCAGCTATTATCCACTACACCACCCGCATATACAAGTTTACAGAACCTGTTTTCTCCGTGCGATCACTCATCTAGGTACTGACCAGGCTTAACGTAGCTTAATTTCGATGATCGGACGAGAACCGGTGTTTCAACGTGATATGGCCGTAAGCACCTGTTTTTTGTTTGTTTACCAAACAATTCATTAGATAGCCAAACAAATATGCTTTAAAAGGAAATATTTGTATTTAGACTTAAGCTGTGTTATTTGTAGTTCTAAATTCATTTATTCATTGCTTCAGTGGTAGACAGTTAATAGTGGTTCATCTTTTGGCTTTAGAAGTAAACAGAACGATTTGTTAATCATGAAAACCGAGATGGAAAATACGATGAAGAAGGGATCAGAAAAAAAAAAACAGATAGAGAGAGAGAGAGAGAGAGAGAGAGAGAGAGAAAGAGAGAGAGAGAGGGAGAGAGAGAGGAGAGAGAGAGAGGAGAGAGAGAGAGAGAGAGAGAGAGAGAGAGAGGAGAGAGAGAGAGAGGGAGAGAGAGAGAGAGAGAGAGAGAGGAGATCTGAAAGCTGCTGTATCGTACAAATTCGATAAAAATGGTAATGTGGTAGGAAAAAAAGGAAAAAAAAAAAGAATCCCCTGTAGGCAGAAAATGAAAATACAGAAATTTTATGAAGGTTTGTTTCAAAATATAGTAAAAAAAAAAAAGTATCTCTTCCGATTGGAAGATAACCATAACACGAGTTAGTATTGTTAAAAATGTTGGAGATAACTAATATATTATATGAAAACCATGAAACACTTATCATTTAATACCTAAAACGTACTGAGAAAATTTAAATTTGGTACATACCCGAGTTACATTTTTTTTAAATAGTTAAATTAATGTCAACGAGTTTTGAGATCGAAACTTGAGGCTTGAAAGTGAGTTCCTAAATTAAATAGAATATAAATGTTCGCCCTTTTTTTGTGTGGGGGATAGATTTTTCTCTGTCTATATTTCTGAAATGAATTATTCTATTTCCAATTTTCAGACTTTTGTCCTCATTTTTGTTGCTATATTCACGACGTTTCGGCCTCTATACGCTCCGGCCCCCGTCAGGTGACTGGAATTTCGAACCGAATCCTTTATTTCGTTCACTGGGCTAGATTGTTCTAGTTCCACGTGTCAAGACTCTTCCGGAAATTTCGGTTTCAGTTATTTCCTTTTAGTAACTCAACTCAACGATATTTTTTCACCGCTGCTGTGGCCAGGTATTGAACACACAACTCTGCTTCTAGTCGCATTTAGATTACTTTTAACCAACGCTTTTATTCACTGGGCCATGTGTTCTTGGGAAGTATTTTCCTTACTAAGACTTTCTTTGTCTAGCCCAGGAAACATTAATGTCGCTATTAAAATACATCAGAATAGTTTTGACTATAGATCTCCACTATAAATCGTATGTCGATATGGAGAGGTCAGTTCATGTGAGGGAGAGACAAAAGTGTCGTTTGATTCGTTCGGAAGCACTTACGAAACAAGCTAAAATAAAAATAGACTAGAACGTTTTGGTTTTTCCTCCAATGATAAAAAATTGATGAGGGCCAAAAAGTAAACTGGAATGACCTTCTATGGTTTATTTAATGGCAAAATCTACATATGTTGAACATAATTTTATGAATTCAGCTACAGAAAAATGCATTGTTAGTCATTTTGCTTTAAATATGTATTGTTGTTAATTTTACTATAAACAGGTATTGTTAGTTGGTTGATTTTGTTTAGCGACATATCAACCTCCATGGGTTATTTAATGTCGGAAACTAAATAGTTTGTACGTAATTATATGCTTTCAACTAGATATTTTGTACATAAATTTAGACGTTCAAGGTGAAATTATATTTCTTTAAATATATACCTTGTACACTATAGAATGTTTTGTTGGTGAATTTATTATAAAAATGCATTTTTATGAATTTTTAGTGTCACATTGTTTGCCATTTGGCTATAAAAATCTATTGTTGCTGATTTTATTATTAAAATTTACTGTTGGTTTTTGCTTGGCGATGGTTCCTTATTTGTCCATAGCTTGGAAGATAATGGGTACCACCACCCCAGGTCAGGGTAGAACTGAGGACACCAGTAATTAAGAAGTAGTTCAACGCTCCTCAAAACCTATGTGTGTGTGTGTGGGTGTAAAATTTCAGATAAAACTAAAAATATATCTGTAATAAAACAATGAAATAAAAAGAAAATTTATCTTAGCCAACAAGTAATATATATTTTATAAGTTTGTTTTTTACTACTTTGAAATATTTAGGAATTCAGTAACTCGACCTTGTGTCACATCTTACTGCGTGGGGCAGCTGGTAAATAACAAATATTTAGGAATTCAGTACGTGTTGTCTAGTTCGTTAGTTGATTTTGCTTAGCGGTATATCAACGCATCTATGGGATATTTAATGCCAAAATCTAAAAATTTTGAAAGCAATTAACTTTAAGTCAAGACAAAAAGTATTTATCTTTTTACTATATGTATAGTTGGTAATTTTTACGAAAAATATGTATTTGTATACTTTCCTAGTGTTTTCCTTTTTGTTTTGGTTAATTATTTGTTCATAGCTGGAACCTTAACAAGTGCATACTACCCCGGAACGACAGCAACTGAAAGGTGGCTCCCTCCTCCTCAAAACCCCCAGTCTCAGGATGAGAGACCTTGCTGCCAGGTGTAGTTTATCGTCATACCCAGGACGAGTGACATTTCGGTTGACCTCTTGCAAATTTCTGCCCACTATTAGAATAATCGATGTTATTTTGAGCATAAAATTTTATTCAAAATGCCAAAGAGAAACACTTTTGTTACGTACTTTCTTTCTTTCACATTGGAATTTAGCTGCCATGAGTTTTAGCATCCAATATCTAGCTTCTACATAAAGAATAAAATCAATCTAGTTGAATTTATTTCTTTTTTATTCTGAAGCTCATATTGATAAATCATACAATACAGAAAAATGCATTTACAATATTATGCCAGTTCGAAAAAGCTCTTAACGATGCCAAGAGCTGATCCTATTTTTTATCTAATATTTGATAATGGCAACACTTTGCAGGATCTCCTTATGAATAATTGTCGTGAAAAAAAAATCTCGCAAACTGAAAAATGATTTTTATTTTTTGCTGTTTCACACGTTAAACTCCTGAGGTCAATTACGAAATGTGACTTCTAAAGACGACTTTATAATAGCCAACTGAATCAATAATTTCTTTTCAAATTCTTCGTATGTGCGTTATATTTTAATTTTTTCCCTATAACAATGTTTTTAGTGGCCAATACGATTTCTTTCTATTCCTGAAAGGTACCAGTTATTTGCGGAGAAAATAAAACAGCGGAAATATTCGTGGTTGTAGCCTTGATTGCAAGACAACAAAAACGATATAACTCGTGGTCGACATTATAAGAAAAGAAAACTGCCAACGACGAGGCTAAAGAAATGCATAAATTTCGTCCTGGATTTGGTAACGTTCAAGCAATTCAGCAGGATCTGCCACAAACACTATCAGATTTTCCCATAGTGTGACCAGTCAGATGTGCTTTTGATCAAGTGTCAGAAGGCGTGGTGCACGCCGAACAGAAACCATTGACACGCCAAATTCATTGTGCAGAATATTCTCAGCTCTCTCACGGAATATGGCCTCCGTCACCATGTGGTTAACACGATCAAAATGTCCCACTGTGGTAGGAGTTGTAGGACGTCCAAAACTTGAGTCATCTTCAACAATGTCTTTCCCCTCCTATATTTAACTGCCCGCTTTTATACTTAATAAAACTGGAGCCTAAACTCTTAATCAAGCAATCATGTCAGCATTAATGTTCTTGGGGGCTAAACCCTTTTTCAATAGGTACTTGATAACACCATAATGCCAAATATTGTTCATTTTCAAAAGATATTGCTACTAGTTACTTTTTATGTCTTCTTTGAAGAGTTAGATACGTGTTTCTTTTCTACTTGACACACACACAGATATATATTATAGCTAGTTTCATGTTTTTCTTTCGTCAGATGTAATTACTTTTGTTAATACATTTAACGTTTGTTTTATATGTATTGTTTTATGTTACTTGATTTTTTACCTGGACTCGCATAGAGGCCGGCAATATTATTTGTGGGATAATCTTTTTAGGAACCCTTAAATATTTGCTATGCAAAATTTTGATTCCTGCATAGTAAATAAATAGCATCCCTCAACAGATATCAGTTTACCTGTGCAGAAACGATGCAGTTATTAATAATAAAAGTGAAATTAATGCATGCAAATTTTCATAGCTCTAGCATCACTCATTCATAGTTAGCCTGTGAACTTTTCAGCCTATCCTTGTCTGTGTAAGTGTTTCTTCTGTCTCTTGATACTGAACTCAAACTGGATCTTATGAGAAATGTCATTCTAATATACGCGATCTAAAACAGATATCTCAATAAAATTGTCAAATCAAAATGCTAGCTATAAGTGGACAGAGAGGACGCATCGACGAGACAGTGGCGTTGAGCTGAGAATTTAATTGGCAGCCAATGGATGGAAGCGAGTTGCAGGGGCACACAATCCGACACGCACAATTATATCGGTCGGTCTTTACAGAAGCGCGAACCGGTTTGAACCACATTAACATTTAACGTACGGCTTGACTCGTACATTGACACCGGATTTTAACTTTCACTTCTGCAGTCGATCTCCATTTTCAATTTGAGCCGAGAGATAATGCGATCACCGCTCAAGATCACAAAATTCCGAGAGTCTTGACCGATTCATTTCGAGGCGTCACGAAAAGGCGCATTTTATTAAGCCAACCTGATTTTGACTTACGCGGCGGAAACGAAAGGTGAATCAGTCAACACTTTGGCGAAATAAAATAAAATAAAAAGACGGGGAAGAAAAGAGGGAGAGAATTTTTGGAGAAGATGAGAAATACTAAAACATAGAAAAAATAAAAAAAAATTAAAGAGTGATTCCATGAAAGGTGCGATAAAATGTAATGAATAAATAAAAGTGGTAAAGCAGGATAAAGATGGAAGCTGGGAATAATTGCGAGGGAGAAAGAAAGAACACTGAGAAAAAATGAAAATGGAAAGAGCAATGAATTGTAGAAGAAAAAGAGAAAGAGCATGTATAGAAAGAAAAAAGAA